CAACGGCGTTCTTCAAAATGAGGTCGTCTTCCGGAATCCATGGAGGGCGATCTGGAGAAGCAGCCGGAGCTGCCATTCGCTTACCACATCTACGCCTTTCGAAAGTTGAGGACTGTTCTCCGAGCAGAGCATCAAGTAAGCAAACACATTGCGGGTCGGAATCTTACGAAATGCTGATTGAAATGTTAAAACTGGGAAGTTCAGTGGGGTTGGACTACATCAGCTAATCTGATTATTCGTTGGATAGCGCTCTGTAATAATCTCGTTGAGTTTCTTCTTCCGTTTGAAACCGCGCGTAAGTGGATGTATTTCAGGGAATATTCGACTTTTGTGGACCGAGATTGATTGATTTTTTTTTTTATGATGAGGAAAATTCACATCTCAACATCCACATTTGCCAAATAGTTATGCAATAAGTACAAGGGCTGGCTATTTGGTCCGGGTTTTTTAGTTTTATCGAAACCGGATCGTATAATCCGGATCGGGACCGGATCGTATAATCCGGATCGAAATTGGACCAGGACCGGATAGTAAACAATCCAATCCAATATTTAGACTTAGATTTGAGGTAAAACAATCGTTCGGGACCGGATTGAAAACTGAATAAAGACCGGATAAGAGAGCTCAACACCCAAAACTTAAGGGTAATTTGCATAAACGGTCACAAACCTTTGCACTTAGTACAAAACTTAACTAACTCCTCACCCTTTCAGGCCTTAGGCCACTCAAATCCCCACAAGCTCAATATAAAATCACGACCGAATTGGGACCGGACCGGGTCAAGACTGGACCGTATCAAGACCGGACTGTATCCAATCCAATCTTTGGTCCATTTTCAACAAGATCGGACTGGACCAGATCAATACGATATTCCAAATAAAATAACAAAAATATATTTAGATTATTAGATACATACGATATTCCAAATAAAATAACAAAAATTCATATTTATATACAACATTCAATGTCAATACCAAAACATTTATTCTTGAATCTAACGAATAACACCATTTAATATTTAAATTTAATAATTAATTAATCTTTTATTAATTAAAATCACTAAAACGTTGTTATTTTACTTAAAGGTCGTAAATTGATCATATCGATGGTGTTCACGTTGATTTCATGACCGGCTCTGTTTGAACTTGGCATTGCATCAGCATGACAACCATGCCATATGGTATATTCATGCTTTCTAAAGTGCGTGCTCAAGTTTTGGTAAAGAAAACATTTTTTTAGCTTGGTTCAATTAATAAGATAGAATTCAGACTCGTTTTCTCTCTTAGGTCAGATGATTCCGTGCGATAGCTGCTGCCGGAGCCGTTGTAGCTCCGTTAGGGAGGACTGCACTTGGGCAAGTCTGTTCGAGATACATCTAGTGAATTGAATGTCCTTTCGTCCTCCTAAATGCGTACGTAATGGTTTTCGTTTGCCTAGTGAAGTGAATAAGTGTGGTGAAGAGAAATGGAAAAAAGACTGCCTAATTAGTCAATTTGTTGGCTCTCCTCCGAGGGTTAATCTGTTACAAGATTGGGCTAATGCTCTTTGGGAAGAGATGGATTGGCGAGGGTCTCAAGGTTTGGGCCAAAGTTGTTGATCTGTGACTAACTCCAACTACAACAATAAAATCCCGCCTAGAGCCCAAGTATAAACTCTAGTAGGATGTAGTATAGGGTAAGCGTTTTAAAATGTCAACTCATGCTGATCCATGTACCCCTATTTCAACCGTTTAAAATATTATCTTGCAATTGTTTTTAGTGAAAACTAAGGTCTACAATTAAAACAAGCAAGAAATTAAATTGGTTTAGAATCTAGATGAGAAAGCTTCACAGTTCATCGGGGATTGCCCCCTAACTATATATCAAGATCGACCGAATAGGATGCCAATGTGTAGGAATGTGCTCACACACCGTGAGGAGAGCGCAACTAGTGAAGAAACTTCACTCTCATGGGTGATAGGCCAAGGCACAACAATTGAAGCTAACAAAGTAGCTCTCTTGGCTGCTCAACCAAGGGTTGCTAAGGCTACTCCCTCGGAACTTAATCTGGATGGCAAGATAACAACCAAATCAAAGTGTTAAATTGAAACTTGAGGCTTGCCCTAAATTGCCCTAGATGGGAGACACAATTGGCCAAGAACAGCTTTTCAAAGCTACCAAACAAGAGGGGTTTCCCTCCACCAAGGTCAAATTGGCATGATAATGAGAAATGAAGAACACAACTCAAACATTCTGAAAATACTTCAAAATTTGCATTAAACACAAACCCACACACATAGTATTCAATTTATACAATCTATCACATATCTAAAGCTAGGGTTTAAATACCCAAGTGAAAAAGAGTACTACTCCATAGTCAAACTAGGGATTACAACAAAGAGAAGAAGAAGAACCATGATGTGGCTTGTGGCTTCCTTCCTTGTTGTAGAAATCACCCTTGGGAGAGGTGATAATCCTCAACCTTCAAGGTTGGAGCAAATCCTAGAGCATCTCTTCTCTCTTGGTTCATCATTTCTCTCTCTAAAATCTTAGGAAGAAGAAGGTATTCTCTTACTAGGCTCTCTTTTCTAAGTTTAAACTCCATCCTCCTTTTATACCCAGTTCACGCGCACTTCACGGTCTCAGATCACGGTCGCGATCTGGAAGCTCGGGCTTTTGTTCTTGGACAAAAGTGTGTCATTTCATTTAAGGTCTTCATGGTCTCTGGGAGATTATCATGGTCTGGCGACCGTGATGTCCTTTAGGCTCGAGAGGCACAAAACTCCTGGGGTCTCCTTGTGCTTCACCGTCTGTGCCTCCTCCTTATCACGGTCAGCCCTATATCTTGATTCGTGAGATTTCCTTTATCCTACTTTATCTCTTCATTTTATTTATTTATCACATTAAATATATTTATGAACAAAGTTCTCATGATTTCTCGAACCACTCTAATTTTTTATTTTAATTAAGGATAAACATGTTATTTAACATAAATTATAATTTTTATTTTCATTATATGTTAACAATCACGGTTATCAAACAATAAGCATTTTAAAATCCATTTTCAAAAATCAGAAGAGTTAGAATCTTTAAATTGTTGACAATCTATTGATTTAAACTCATATTATCCAAACGTATAGGAAAAGGTTAGAGACATTTTCATAAATGATGATGTTGTAGGTTATGCATGGTTATGCTCCCTTAAGTTATGCAAAGATCCGCTCCCAAGTGGATCCAACGTGTAGAAGATCTTTAACCAACTTAGTGAACTTTAATGGAAACTTAACGAATGGCTATAATTGTTTCGCGTTTTAAAAAGTTTGGCTATTTTATTGTGATTTGAATAGATTTGGCTATTTATGTATGAAACATAACAATTTTGGCTATTTTTTGTATTTACTCTAAATTTTATAATTACAAATAAATTGCATCAATCCAACTCATCAATTCATCCAAAATCAATACCAAATTTTACACTTTCTCAAATTAGGTTTCTAACATTTCAAATTTTCTCAATTGTTAAGCACCCACGCCAGGCTTGATTTTCCACGTGACTTTTATTATTTTGTTTTTTTAAACTCAATATTGATTAAAAATAAATAAACATATAAAAAGCATTATTATGATTCAAATACACAACCTATAAAGTTTATATTTAATATAGTGTAAAGTTTCTAACATGTAAGACAAAAACTATATTTGATGATATTTATTACAAAACTAATAAGATAAAGTTCATCCATTATATTGATTATTATTATAACAAAGTTGAATCTATAATGGCATCAATCTTGTTTAAATTGTTACTTTATAATTTTTTATCTTTTTATTTCATATGTAAAATCGATATTGAATCAAATTTAGAGTGAATCTTATAATATAAACATTAAATTTATGATTGTAAATAAATTACATCAATCCAAAAATTGTTTAATTACAAGAGGACATGACCGACCTACTAGAACAAGACTAACAAAATGATTAGCAACAATAGCGCTCCTACTAAATAAATTACTTTACTCTATTTATATTTAAGTGATAACTGTACTGAATAGATAATAAATTAGAATTTTAATGTTATACATTGTTTGAGTTGTTAATAATTCATTGTCAATGTTGGCATTGTGATGATTTCATATTTCATTTCTTTAATTTTGGTAATTTTATTAAAAATATATAATTTCAAGTGAATTTCATATTTTGAACTTTTCCTTACAAAATGAATAAATCGTTTCACCTAGATTTAGAACAAAAAATTTCAATTCGAAAGACTATATATTTAATAACATAGTAATTATAGGGTTAATATTTTCGTATGGCCTGAACTTTGACCAAAATAAACATCCTGGCCAATCTTTTCGATCTATAACATCCTGGCCCGAACTATACACCAAAATAAACAATTTGGCCAAACCCGATGTTTGACCGTTAACTTGGACGGTCAAACGCGTTGACTAACGGTCAACGCGCCACGTCACTGCCAAGTCAGAAGATCTGATAAATATTTAATTTTTTTCGTTTTTTATTTTTGGTTTAACTAAGGTATTAGATGATTTTTTTTTAATTTATAATAATTTAAAATTAGGGAATGTGTGGAAATTGTGAATTATTTTAAATATTTTATGGTGACTTGGCAGTGACATGGCGCGTTGACCGTTGACCGTCCAAGTTAACGGTCAAAAGTCGGATCTGGCCAAATTGTTTATTTTGGTGCATAGTTCGGGCCAGGATGTTATAGATCGAAAAGATTGGCCAGGATGTTTATTTTGGTCAAAGTTCAGGCCATACGAAAATATTAACCCGTAATTATACGGTGAATCGGGCGAGTCACGAGTTAGTTGGGTTCGGGTTAATCGAGTTCAAATCAATCGAATTATGGGGTTTAATCACGTTACGAGTCAATCATGTTCGAATTAATTAGGTTGTGAATCATTCAGATTACGGTTTAATCACGTTACGGGTCGAGCGGGTTGCCTGACTTGTATTAAATCGGTTACGATCGGGTTGCGGATCAAATTCACGGGGCGGGTTACTCGCGGGTTCTGTTTTGACACTATAGTAAATACGGCGGAGGAATGATGATGACGATCACGAAACGAAGGCTTTGATTTCTGGATTAGGTCACAGAGAACCAGGGGAAGGAAAGTCGTTGATTCATTTTCTAATCCCAAACCATAGCTACAGTAAATGAACGGCAGGTCAAATGCCTCCTAAACCAGAAATGCGAGCTCCTGCGGAGGTTGTGGAAATCGAGAGTAGTGATGACGAAGATGTTGTGGCAGTTGTTGCGAGGAAGCAACCGCAGAAAACACCTCACTCGCAGTCGCAGCAGCGGAGCTCTAGTTCAGTTCCTCGTAGTACGCCTGGCCACCAGGGTTTAGACTGCCGTAACTTCTGGAAAGCTGGGGGCGCTGATGTTATTCCTGTTGTTAGGAAGGCTCCCGCGTCAGGTGAATTTCTCTCCAATAGCTGGCCACTGTTTCCCAAGTTCTTGTCCTCATTTCTAGTATTGTACATTCAATAGTGCTGACTGGCAATTTCATTGATCTGGGGGTCGCAGGGGAGCTGGAGCATGCTCGGGTTCATCCCAAGTTTCTACATTCGAATGCCACTTCACATAAATGGGCTTTTGGAGGTATTTCGCTCGTCGCTGCCTTCTTGTCTTGTAATGTTTTCTGTTTAGATGTGTGGAAACCAAAGGCCTCAGGAGTAGAATTATGTAGCTTTTGAAGATCATGCATCTCAACCCTAAAGCTGTGTAGTCGCATATTTCCCATCTTGGAGTTATGGATATCTAGTACTTTTGCATGGTTTATAAGGGAAGAGAGTAACCTCTTGGGAACCCTTAAGATTATAGCTTCGACGCAGCCTGAGAAGATAGTAGCTAGATGACACATCCTGGCTATCTTTTTCACTAGGAAACTGGAAGCTTTCTGGTTATTTGTACGAGCAATTTTCTGCTCTTATGGAAATTCAGCTGTAATCAAAGATCTTGTTATTGTAGAATACTGTATCCTTAAGGATAATACATTGCATCCCAGTCCTGGACTGTACCCTAAGTTGATTACAGCCAGGTCAGTGATGGCCTTCCATCCATCAATACTAGAAGGGGAATCCCCTAGTTTGGTTATATAGATTTCTGCACAACTATGGGAGCAATCTTCGGAGTTTTACTCTTTCACAACTCTTAGCTATCAGTACAAGTTATAAAATTCTGATCACTTACACATTTGCAAATTTTCTTGCAGCTATTGCAGAGCTCTTGGATAATGCGGTTGATGAGGTGTGTGCAAGCCCTGCACCATATTCTCTGCAACTGTATCCAAGTAGTAGTTCCATTTTAATATACTTTTATATGTGTGAGCATGTGAACGCGGAGATCTCTTAATTGGTCTGCCTACATGTTTGCATAGACCGAATACAAGTTTGCATGAGTTCAAGAGCCAACTCTATTAATGATCAACTTTCTGCTGTGTTGTCAGATTCAAAATGGTGCAACCTTCGTGCAAGTGGATAAAGTAGAAATCTCAAAGGACAAATCTCCTGCTTTGCTTTTCCTAGGTTCTGATCTGTTTACATATAATCTTTTGTTTCCATGATTATTTTATTTTCATGCATTTATATATTTAATCACAACATATATCCTTAAAAGTGGAAAGAAAGAACTATGGAAATAACAGAATGTATGCGACTGTATTCTATGGCGCAGATGATGGTGGTGGGATGAACCCTGAAGGTATCCGTAAATGCATGAGTTTGGGCTATTCTTCAAAGAAATCAAAAACGACAATTGGACAATGTAACCTCTATTATCTTTCTTTATTTTTCGAGGTTTCTTTTAACTTTGAACTGGTGATTTGGTTTATTTGAGGAAGCTTCTAGCTAGGACTCGTGCTTCACATTGCTGCTTACTCTTTTAGTTTATATGTTTATCAACTTGCAATCCTCGAGTTGTATTGGATGCGAATTTAATAGGTTAGGTCATAGCTGGAAACCAGGGGCTTCATCGAACATGTAGGGGAAAACTGAAATGTTGTACATTTTTTTGATAATGGATCAGCTGACAGACAGTGTTGGTTGGGTACCTCGAATTCTGGTCATTTCGTTGGAAGCTGTTTATCCAAGTTATTGTTTAGATCTAAGATCTGAGCTGCATGGCCATTCCTGAATCTTCATCTTGTTCTCACATATGATTGGCGTGGGATGTTTGTTTCAACTATTCAGTCATATAGTCAAGTATTAAATGCATTTAGACCTGTATTTTTTAAATTGAAGGGCCTCGGATCCTGGTTGTTTCAACTATCCAAGTTACTGTTTAGATCTAGGATCTGAGTTGCATGTGTCATTCATAGATCTTCATCTTGTTGTCGCATATTATTGGCCATCTCTGTGTTTGCAACGGACAATTGAGTCAGGGTCCTGGGATGTTACTCAGCCATATATGGTAAAGTATTTTCTGCATTTAGACTGTATTTTCGAAACTGAAGAGCCTGTATGTCTTGTGCAGATGGTAATGGATTCAAGACAAGTACCATGCGACTTGGTGCCGATGTTATTGTTTTTACCCGTGCTACTTCTGCCAGGTACCTTTTTATTTGCAATTTAGAATGCTATGCAGTATGATGTGTGTTCTTTTCAGGACTAAATTCGCGTCTTCTGTGGTTAACATTGGTGTTTCTGAGCAGGATGAATAAATTTGTCTTTGAGGTCACCTGCTTTCTTTTATGGGTATCATCACATAAATGTCTCAACTGGAACCTGATTAAAAAATTCAGCTCTTGTCTTTTCCCACTTACGGTGTTTCAGATATATTTGGTTGCTATAGATGACTGTTCTTGGAAGTTTACAACTCTGTGACTACCAGTCTCCAAAGTTCTAGGAAAGTACCTTCTCTGGCATGTTGTACATAAGTGATCGTTGTCACAGATATTTAGTTCTTGAAATTGTATTTTGATCACACTGGAAACTCACACAGAATGCCAAAAAAAAAAAAAACTAAGGACAATTTGGTCTTTGGCCAATTGGAGTTGTAGTTTCAACAATATTCAACACTTATGTTTGATTGCTTCTTCGTCAGCAAAGCAACGCAAAGTGTGGGTCTCTTATCATATACCTTCTTGCGGAGAACAAGTCAGGATGACGTTGTTGTTCCAATGGTAAAATTTAAGATTCTTTATTGTTCTTAACCTTTTCTTTTGAGTCTTATTTGGCCAAAAAAGACCTTGTTTATTGTTATGGTTGTTCACTTATTTTGCAGATTGACTTTGACATCTCTGGCCATTGGGCTGAACCAATTATATTCAGCTCACAGGATGACTGGTCTTCTAACTTGAAAACCATCCTTGAGTGGTCTCCTTTCACATGCAAAGAGGAGCTACTGGAACAGGTTGCCGTTATTCCACATGTCTTTATGTCTTTTTGTAGTTGATGTTTAAACAATATCATCTAAGAAACTTGCTGCACATGAAATGAATTGAGTTTCCTTCAGATTTGGCTCCCTAGTGGATGTGAATTACTTACATCCATGAACATTTTTTACAAAACAAAACTAGGGACTTGATTCTGGCTACCAGTTAGGTTGACTGTTAAAGCTTACCTGATTTTCTCATGAGTGGTTAGGAACGGGCACTTGATTCTGTCAGCTTAGGCAGAGAATCTTCATGATTTAGTTTGGTCGTTTATGAGAAAAGTAAACACTAGTCCTACTTAACATCTGTGGTAATTTGGACTATTATATCTTTCGAAGGATGCATGCAAATTTTATCTAGGTTTGACAAGGACAAGATCTTTCCTACTTCTATCTCCTAAGTCTGAATAGTTACGCTGGGGTTCAGAGTAGTTTAAACTCAAGCTTGTTGTTACCTTTGCATATTTAAAACAATTGGTTTGATGTCCTTGAACTTTTCTATATTCAGCCTATTGTTATGACATTTACTTACCTTCCCAATTTACTACTTGGACACCAGTTTGAGGGTATTGGACGGCATGGAACAAAAATATTAATATACAACTTATGGCTGAATGATGAGGGTGTGTATGAGTTGAGCTTTGACGACGACGATGAGGTATGTAGTTGTATCTAAAGATGTCGCAAATTTTCAGTAAATTTCACTCAACTTTTGAAACTGGATATCCATTTCTTAAGTGGGCCTTGCTAATCTATTTCTAATAATTTTGTTGTCGTTTTATTTGTTGGGAGTTTGATTTTGATTTTTATGGTGGATATAGGATATAAGGTTGAGAGACGAAGTTAATCGTGGGGGTCAGGCAAAGCTACACAAAAGAGTAGTTGAGCTTCAGTCTCATGTTTCTTACCGTCTTCGCTTTTCATTGAGGGTAGTGCTTCATATTTTGTTGTGTTTGAGTTTTGTTTCTTCGTACTTTGCTGCTTCCCTGACTGATACAACTTGTCTTCTCTTTTAGGCTTATGCATCAGTACTGTACTTAAGAAAATTCACAAACTTCAAGATAATATTAAGGGGGAAGCCTGTAGAGCAGTACCATATTGCTAAACATTTGTTATCTCCCAAAAAAGTCATTTACAAGCCTCAGATGAGAACGGGTATCAATGAGGTAAAAGAAATCATCTATTCTTTTACCTTTCAAACGTTTGGTGAATTTTGGAACGAGTGGAAAAGGAATTTACATAAGAAGCTTCAGTGGGTTAGCATCTGATATCCTTCGTTTTGCCAGGTTGTTGTCGAAGCCACCCTAGGATATATTCCAGAGGCACCTTTCCCAGTGAGTGGCTTCAATGTATACCATAAAAATCGCCTTATCAGGGTATGTTCATCTGTTGGTGTTGTCAGCCATGCTTGTTCGTGTTTTTTTTCATATTGTAAATGCAATTTGCTGTTCTCCTTCATACAAGTGCTTTTATAATCTTGTTTAGTGTAACTGTAATTATCAGAAAAAAATGACATAATTGAAAATCTTCAGAGAACTAATGCAACGAGGCACCTCTTGTCACTAATAACTAGTTGCTTTCTTTATATGTTGAAAGCCTTATTGGAAAGTCACTGCTGAAGGTTCTTCAAAGGGAAATGGCGTTGTGGGTAATTCCATTTCTCAATTGGTTGGTTGTCTGTGACTGATATACAATATTGAAGTTGCACTTGCTCAAAGGTTTCCTTCTTAAATTCTGGCAACAGGGGTCCTTGAGGCGAACTTCATAGAGCCAGCACATGATAAACAAGATTTTGAGAGATCTTCTGTGTTTATTAGGCTCGAGACGAAGCTGAAACAGATTTTGATGGAATACTGGTTTGTTGATTTCTACTTCTACCTTGTAGAGGTTTCTGGAATATCAATTTTATTATGTGAAATTTTTTAATAACTTTGTAGGGTTAGTTTTGAGCATAAATATCATAGGCAGATTTTCATTTGTGATTGGACAGGAATGCCCACTGCCATTTATTTGGTTATCAATCTCCTGCTGAGCGGACAATGAAGTATTATGCCAAAACACAAAAGCCACCGCCCACAAACCAGCTTGACACTGATCTTTCATCTTCTTCTGCTCATGAAATGAACCACAATCCACCTCTTCAGCATCCCAGTTACAACGAACTCAGGAATAGTGGTCCAATTGGTCTACCGGCAGAACTACCAGTTACTGGGATTGCTTCTGTAAGTGATAGTATGGCATGGACAGGCGTTCCTGATTATGTGTCATTTTTCAGAATTTCAATTTTTCTCTGCCTGCTAAGCATATTGATACACAATATTGTTTACATGATCGTAGGGAGCAGGTGATCAAGTCAAAGTCAAGGATTCCGGATCCCAGTCAGTAGAAGCGCTATGTGAAGATAACATACAACTGTTTATGAGGTTGAAAGACTGATTTGATATCTTATTTCTTTTCATCTTATGCAGTAAGATCAGTCTTTAACCTGTAAAGACTCGTTAATTCTGTGCAACTGGTCGTCCAACAGGTGCGAGGAACAACGTCTGCAGGAGATTGAGTTGAAACAGAAGGTAGATGTTCAATTAGGCATCAAGTGTAAACAAACACTTATCTTCATTTCTCTGGATGAGGGGCTACTAGTTGGTTGTCTAACTGTTTCCCAATGTTGGGGGAGATGTCCAGGTTGAGGAACTAGAAAAACAGGTGGAACAAGCGAAGAGGAAATGTGCTCAACTTGCTGCTCATTTGGAGACAAGAAGGAAGCAACAGACTCCTCAAGTTCTATAACTTGTGGCCACGAGCCAGCTTTGTTGCTGAAACCCTTCTTGATGTTCGAGGTCCTTGAACTCCCTAACCATCTTACCTGCTGCAAGGTTTTGTAGCAAGAGTTACTTTGTGGCCATATCCAGAAGCAGCTGCACTATTCATTCCCTCTTTACTGCTCACTTTTGTCTAGGAGATGTACATATAGAGCAGGGAAACATAATCTCGTTCTGTCCAAAATGTTGAAATCAAGTATCTAATTAATGTTCCGGGTTGATTAACAGTCACCTATGCAGGCTATGCTAGCATGTTAGAAATATGGTTTTGTTATATAATGCCTAATTTCTCTAGAACACCACAAATATATACAAAAATCATTTGGATTCTAAAACATTAAAACATTAATATGACAAGTCTATCACAAACTTTTGTCTTCGTAACTTTATTAAAATTGATAGTTAGTGGTCAACTATCAACAAAATGACTTACTTTACAAACTTCAATTAATTAAATAACGGGTTAATTGAATGATTGTTCATTGAGATTACAAAAAAGTTCAAGTTTGGTCACTCGAAATATTTAAATTCATTGATGGTACTTCAGTTTACTGAAACCGTTCACGTTTGGTCACTCTCCGTCCAACTTCGTTAACTTTCGCTGATGTGGCAGTCAACTCTCAAAGTTGACCATTAACTTAGTAACGTGGCAATTAAGAAATAATAAATAAAATTTATTTTAATGTCCAACTCATTTTTATCATAAATAAATAAAAAAAATTATAATTATTAATTACCAAATTGAAAGAGGCGCCTGACACCACATCCCTTTTTTAGTATATGGTCTCGCGATTCATTTTCTTGTTTGCACAAAGGGCAGGTGACATTTACCTCTGCATTCCAGCGTTGAACTTTCTCCATTGTAGTAATCCTCCCCAGCAATAGAAGCCATACCAGCAACGAGTTCTTAGGTATTCCTTTCTTCCAGATCAACTTTGCCCATACCACTGTCTCCCCTCTCGGTCTAATACTCTGCCACACCTTACTAATATGGAATCTGGGCATTTCAGTACTTTCCCATTCCATCCCTCGCGTTGTTCTGCACAATTTATCTGCAAAAAGATCTCTGAGTTTTAGGATTTTGTTCCAAATCCAAGAACCTCTCGTCTGTACCTCCCAGATGCTGAGGTTTCGAAGTCTGTACTCCTTTAACCAGGCACTCCAAAGAGTTTTTTGATCAGACAGTACTCCCCATATATGTCTCGCTAAACACGCCTTATTCCACGAACTGAGATCTTTGAAACCCAGTCCACCTTCAGCACGAGGCAGAGCCACCATTTTCCAGGACACCCTGGCCTTTTTCTTCTTCTCTAAGTCTCCCCAGAGGAACTGAGAGCAGAGGCGTTCTATCTCCTTGATTACTTTTTTGGGGAGCAAAATCACATTCATCCACTATTGTGTCATACTAGCTAGCACTGAAGTGACCAGCTCGAATTTACCTTCATATGATAGAAGTTTATTTTTTTTTATAAGGGTGATATAGATTTCTTTTTTGTGATTAAGGTACTACTTAAGGAATTCGAACCTGGGACCTCCAGGTTCTAAGCTAGTGGTATTACCACTAGACCAAGCCCTTGTTCGTTCATATTATAGAAGTTTAGGCTGCCATCCTTTGATTCTGCCTGCAATTCTATTGATTAAAGCTTTGCAATCTTCTACCAAGAGTTTTCCTGCAATCAGAGGAAGCCCCAGATATCTAACCGGTAAATGCCCTTCCTGAAACCCAGGAATTCTTGCTAGTTCTGCCCTTAACCCTTCAGACACCCATGCACGGAATATATCACTCTTGCTTGGATTACATTTAAGCCCTGAGATTAGATAAAATTTTTGTAGGATCTCAGCTACTACTTCTACCGACCCTTTAGTAAAGAGCAGCAAATCATCACCAAAACATAGATGAGTGAGCTTTGTTCTGCTGCATTGAGGATGATATGGAAGAAAATATTTTTCTGCTGCACGATCCAACATACAGCTTAATACTTCCATACTAATGGCAAACAGGTAAGGGGACAAGGGGCAGCCCTGCCTAAGACCTTTTCTTGCGGGGAAATTCCCTGTTAGACCTCCATTTATGCACACTATGAAGCTAGCTGACTCTAAGAAACTCTTAATCCAACGAACAAATTTTTCAGGGAATCCCATTGCCAATAAAACACAATTCAGGAAATCCCAGTCTACACTATCAAAAGCTTTCATGATATCGATCTTGAGAGTACATCGAGGGGGAGACATTTTTCCTTCTATACCCCTTAACTAACTCATTAGCATTCACAATATTGTCCGTTATCAATCTCCCTTCAATAAATGCTGATTGGTTAGGGCTTATCAGTTGTGGCAGTACTTTTTTAAGACGGTTGGCTAAAAGCTTTGAGACACACTTATACACGAAATTGCAACAAGAGATTGGCCTGAAGTATTTCATAGAGGAAGCATTAGGTACCTTTGGGATTAGGGCCAGAATAGTGCAGTTAACTTCTTTACGCAATGTCCCATTTCGAAAGAAGTTCTGAATAGTCAGAGTAAACTCAGCCCCCACAAGCCCCCCGTGCTCTTGAGAGAACTCTGCTGAGTACCCATCAGGTCCAGGTGTCTTCCCTTTCTTCATTCCCATCACTACCCTTCTAATATTGTCTGCAGTGACCATAGCACATAGATCCTCCGAGTCCCCTTCTAAATGAAACTTCAGTAGCTTTCTAAGAGTGTCAATAGTAACCCTTTTAAACTTGGTATCATGAGTCCCCAGTAGCTTCTTGTAAAACTCCACAACCTCATTCCTAATTTCCTCAATATCCTCCACTAGTGTTCCTGCCTCTGTTACCAACTGTTTTATTGTATTCTTATCTTAGCCTATCTTGTTTTGACCATACTGTGAAAAAACCTGGAATTCGAATCATCGCAATTCATCCACTACTGTTTTGATTTCTGTCTCAAGAATGACTCTTCAGCTTTTTGTATTTCTAGAAGCTGGACCATACACCTCTGTTCAGCTTGAAAAGCTGACGAGGCAGGGCTCTCCAACACTTCCAGCTGAGCTTTCTCGAGTTCTCCCCTTGCTATCTTGACTTTTTCATGTATATCCGAATAACTTTCCCTGATCAGTCGTTTCTTCAAGCGCACTTTAATGTTGCGAAGTCTCTGATAGAGCCTGGTGATTGCTGTACCAGTGACTGGGCAAAGCCAACCTTCATTTACTAAACTGTCATATTGTGAGTGAGGCTTCCAGAAACTGAAATATTTGAAAGGACGAGGCAAAGTTTTAGTCTTTGAGTCTTCACTAATGAGTAACCCACAGTGATCTGAAAGCCCAGGAAGAAGAACCTCGATTGAACTTCTAGGAAAGTTTTCCACCCATCCTTCTGAGACTAGCACTCTATCTAAATTCTAAACGCTTTGCTATAGGGTTTGCCACTTGCTTGTTAGACCATGTGAACCAAGGCCCTAGAGCTGCATGATCAATAAACTGCAAGTCTTCAATCCAAGCTTTAAACTGCTCAGCACTCTCACCCAATCCTCCAAAGTTAGAAGATTCTGTACTATCCACAATCGCATTGAAAACCCCTGCCACAACCCAGGGAATAGTTAGATCAGCCTTCCCTTTGATTTCAAGATAAGTTCGTTGCCTTTCAACTACTTTATTTGAACCATACATGAAAGTATACTGCGTGGGAACTCGTCCCTGAAGGATGTCATGGACATAGAACCCATTACTATCAATCACACTAAAACTTAATCCCTTCTTGCATAAAACCCAAATCCTACCCACTTCGTTTGCTGAGTAGGTATCTTTGTATTCCCAGTCAGGGAAATTTTCTATTATTATTTGCTGCACTTTTTCTTTACTAACTCGAGTTTCCAGTATTGCCACTATCACCACCTTATAACGACGAATTGTTTCCACTATACTTGCCTGCTTGTCAGGGTTATTAAACCCCCGCATATTCTAGACAAGAACATTCATTACTTGATGCTGGTTTTTGCCCCCTTCGGAGGCCGACCTGGTTTACCCTTTTTCTTTTGCTGACCACCTAATGCAGGAAAATGGATAGGATCTTTTAGTGGAGAAACTGCAATTGCTCCTACCTCAAACTGAGTCAGAGAAGCTAGAGCTTCAAAAGAGTTATTGGAGGGAAGGTGGTCAACTTTAACCGCCTGCTGAAACTCTTTGTCAGAGGGGAGATTACACCCCTGCCAAACAGAATCCATAGTAAAAGATGTAACCAAATTCTCTACTCCCTTCTTCAAACCTGCTTCCTCCTGAACTGTATTTGCACAAAATGAACCTTGCATTCCCCCTACATTGTCAGCAGAGGTAATCTCCACTTCAATACTCCCACTAGCTGCATTTCCCACTGTTTCCTCTACCTCAACTGTGCCCACATTCTCAACAACAGCTGCATCCACACTCTTACCAGTCACCTCTCCCTCCTCCTTCTCCTGAGTTACTAGCTCCACCTTCTCACAATCATGACCAAACCTACCACATTTCTTAAAAGTTCTGGTTTATTGTAGAATTCAATGTTAACGTTGTAGGTCGGGCGACGATCAGGGACTAGTCTCAACGAATCCGGAAAAACAGAATCAACTCCCATCTCAACACAGACTCATGGATACCTAAGCCTTTGCCCTAGATGACTGGACTTGTCAAACCAGAGAGGGAGCCCTATCATGCTTGCTAGACGCGTAAGAATCCTCCTCATCATATGTTCTAGAGGCATGTCAAGAATACGTACCCAAATCGGAATCGTAGGATGAGGTTGTTCAGCTCTGATCCCGACTCCCATTTCCTCAAGTAGCATATGTCATTCTTATATGCCATGGCCCGCTAGAGAAAACCCAGTGTGCCGTCTCCGAAGTCGGAAATTGAAACAGAAGCAGCATCTCACCCAACCAGGAAACCCTAATCGACCCCTTCTTGCCCCAAAGACGATTCGCCCACGACTGGACCTGACGAATATGGGGAGAAGAAGAAAGAAACTGTCCCACCAGGCAGTGCTGCCAACGTGCAATTCCTTCGTCCTCCAGCTCAGCAGAGATTCGAAGACCTCCATCCACGATTTCCGGCTCGACGTATACCAACCGATTCTCCTCAGCGATGCCAAAAAGATCGGCCCAAGAACGTCCCATTGAGTGCAGACTTGACTCCATGTGATTCCTTCTTCTAATCAGCTTCAATTAGTTCTCTGGCAATGGCTATCAGCGCTGGCGACTGGCGCAGGAGGCGCGATCGGCAGAGAGACTGATTCAGATCTAACCGTCTAGAGAGAGAAAAAGAGAGAAGATACAAGTAGCCACACAAATTCGGTTTTGTGTGAAGTTCCCAACGGAACCAAATTATAATTCAGTTCGAATTCGGTTTGAGGTTTGGGGAAATTCGGGGACCCGATTTTCATAATTTTGGTTCGGTCGAAACCGAACCGACCGAATTCCCAACCTTAAGTGAGGGCTTGTTAGTATTGGTAGGTGACATATAACACGTAGCATTCTTTATTCGATTAGGTTCCAGTATTCATACCGAGCTCGTACCCAATCGGATTATTCCATGAGAACGTGTACGGACCGTATACGCCAACATAAAGAGGAATTCTATCCATGGCAGTGTAGACACCACATTTTGTCCGAACCAAATCTTGTTGCCACTATCGAACACATGGGACTATCTCTTCACCATTCCAAGAAGAGTTGTTCATGTTCAACAAGAATACGATCTTTCGTTCAAGTTTTGTACGAGATGAAGCATTCAAGTTCATTGTCAAGATTTGAACGCACAAGAGATTTGAATGCATAAAGAATGCAGAAGACCGTATTATTGAAGAATTTAGCCGGTATTGGACGTTGCCTGATCTCGAAGATCCTCGAGTTCGAGTGGATGATGATGTTGCTGCCGACCCAGAAACAGAAGGTCATCCAACGATGCATCGCTGATTCGCTGGTATAGCCACCACCATTAATCTCTTTTGTTCGGGAGTAACCCTGGCCCAACCCCCTTACAACTTCTAACCATGCAGATAGAATTGTCATTCCCGGCAAGGCATAATTTCCATGCAGGCGTTCCACGCCATTTAGAACTTGGAGGTCGCAGGTTCAAATTCTTTAAGTAATCCATTAAGCAGTATCTTAATAAAAAATGTAAGAACCTATATCACCCTTATAGGGAAAAAAAAACATAATAACCTTTGTGTTAGCTACGGAAAGTTCGGTGACTGTGAATGTAATTGACCTGTGAAAATCATCGGCCTCAGCGAGGGGACTGAAAGAGAAAGAGAAAGATTGAAGGTCGGCCGCGACAAAGCTGAGGAGTTTAATTAGCTGCTGCTGAAATTTCATTGCTGCTTTGGCTCAGCCGGGAACTTGAAGATCAATGATCCAAAGCTGACTCTTTCTTTACTGCGTTGTGTCGATCAATCAAGCTAAAGAGATAGTCGGAGGAAAACCTTGATCGGGATCCGATATGAGGAAGCGCGATTTGGCCATTCTCATGCTCTCGGCTTTTGCCATCTTCTTCTCTCTTCAGGTGTTTTACTAATTTTCTTCTCTTGATGAACCCTAGAAGACTTAACGCGACTTCAATTCCTCTTGTCTTTCTGCAGCGCTGGAATTTATATAGTGGTTCTAATTTCCCCTTTTCTTTGTTCTTGTAGCACGAGGGAGATTTCTCTTTTCGAGAGGCGTGGCTCCATCTTTCCGACGAGTATCCGATCAAGTACGAAGCTGAGAGGCTTCCTCCTCCTATTGTAGCTGACCTGAATGGTGACGGTAAGAAAGAAGTGCTCGTCGCCACTCACGATGCCAAAATTCAGGTACTGGGTTGGTTCCACTGCTGATCCATTGATGTTTCTTTGCTTGCTCTTGGTTGGGCTTTAACCCGATTGGGAGTGTGGAATCAGGTGTTGGAGCCTCACTCTAGGCGAGTGGATGAGGGGTTTAGCGAAGCAAGAGTACTGGCGGAGGTATCATTGTTGCCTGATAAAGTTAGAGTTGCCTCTGGCAGACGAGCTGTGGCAATGGCGACTGGGGTCGTTGATAAGATTTATAAGCAAGGGCTGCCACTAAAGCAGGTCTTGGTGGTTGTTACTTCAGGTTGGTCAGTGATGTGCTTTGATCATAATCTTAAAAAGCTATGGGAAACAAGTCTGCAGGTGTGTACTTTTTTATTTATATATGTTACATACATATTGCATATAGTAGCTATAGTGCACAGAAGTGAAGGTTACCCTTTTTGTTTCCTCTTGCAGGAAGATTTTCCTCATAATGCTCACCATAGGGAGATTTCAATCTCGATTAGTAATTATACTCTGAAGCATGGAGATGCAGGATTGATCATAGTTGGCGGCAGGATGGAAATGCAGCCACATGTGCGTCTGTTGCTGTAGTTTCTTCTGCATTTCTTGTTTATTCCTCTTTCCTCTTTTGGTTCTTTTTGATGCAAGTATTTAACTTTGCCAGCTCCAATGGCTTTCAGCTGTTCTTATTATGGTATCACCGTCTTTATATTGTTCTTAGGGTTTCGTTTGAAGATGGTATGCTAACCATGATTAGTCTCTGAACATATAAAAACTAGTATTTCAACTGATTCAAGTCCTGGATACCTTATGCTTGATAAGACACTCTTTGGGACATATCTTTTCTCCACTTCTAGCTATTGTAAAGCCAATGTGTGTTTCTAGCTTTTCTTATCTCTGATTCAGACAGTAGGTTTACTTGTAGCTCTATCGGGTACATAGAATCTTTAGTAGTCATTCTACAAGGCTCTTCGAATGCGTTGAATCTGGTATCAATTTCTTTTCGATGCACTGACTCGTAGTTTATTGTGATTTCAGATTTACTTGGACCCTTTTGAAGAAATTGGCATGGCTGAGAGAAATGCCGATCAGCACAGAAGAAGTGCTAGCGAGAAGGAGGTATGTGCACCAGAGGTTGGCTGCATAGAAGTAATATGACATAATGCTGTATTAGAACAGTTTTCTCTGTTTTTCTTCGTCGAAGCTCTGATCTTCCCTCTCAACAGTATTTTTACTATGTGGTGGTAGTTTTTAAATTTATCCTCTTTTAGTCAACTTGATTACTCACCACCAACCAGGGTGCCAAGTTTCTGTTCTTTTTCCTTGGTCCGAGGCTGGTTAGTCATGCCATTTTCACATATTTTACAGGCCTCCGAGAACTCTGGAGCAGTCAATTTGCGCCATTTTGCTTTCTACGCATTCGCTGGTCTAACTGGTCAACTTCGATGGAGTAGAAAAAATGAGGTTGCCTCTCTTTCCTGTAATGCATGTTATCTTTGTATAGTCTTTCTTGAAAGTTGTATGTGATGAGGTTTTGTGAGGTGTAACTAATGTTCTGATGCCAAACAGCGTATGCCAGTTATAAAGGAGATGCAATATACTTGTCATCGTCTCGTTAGCCATATTTCTATTGCTAATCTAGGACTCCGGACACAAGCTTATCTTACTCTTTCACTGCTCTGATGTGTGGTTCTCGTGCATGGTTTCTTTTTGTTTCAGAATATCGAAGAGAAGGCTTCAGATGTGTCTCATTTAATTCCGCAGCACAACTACAAGCTTGATGTGCATGCCCTGAATGCTCGTCAGCCGGGAGAGGTACGTCTGAAGTTGTTTCTTGACCAACATATGTAATATGTGATGCTCGTAGATATTAATCGGTTTGTCTAACCCCTGTCTCGTTATAGTTTGAATGCAGGGAATTTAGGGAATCAATTCTTGGAGTTATGCCTCATCGGTGGGTAAGGATATTTTGATCTTGCTCAATGTGAATTATCTGTCTTTTTATATTGTTTAGGAAGTAATCCTTTCTGCACTTCTTCTCATTGTCTCAGGAGAGGAGGGAGGACACTTTGTTACAATTGGCACATTTCAAGCGTCATAAAAGGAAAACATTGAAGAAAGTAGCTGGAAAGACAACAAATTATCCATTTCACAAGCCTGAGGAGAACCATCCTCCTGGAAAGGACTCTTCTAAGAAGATCTCAAACTTGATTGGAAAAGCTGCAACTTATGCGGGCTCTGCTAAATCAAAGAAGGTAAGCTATCAGAATCGTACATGCAAAATGCAACTAATTACTGCTAGAGCTGGACCATCAGGTCAGTCCACATTCATGTCTGCTGCGCTCATCTTTCTCCATGAAATCATAGTCTTCAGTTTCTTTCTCGAACGGATTAAAAGTTAGCTCAGTACCATCTAATCCTTATCACCTGTTGGTTTTTAATTTTTTTTATAACACGACACACTCAGCTACTGCTGCCATTGCTTTCTCTTGTCTACCGGTTTCTGGCTTTCACATGAGACAATAGAAATATGAAAGAGCTACAAGTATGTTGTTTGCCTGTCGTTTCAATATTTGACCTTGTATAATAATCTATTAACAAAAAGTCACAAGGAGTGGGAAATCTATTATCTATTTTTCCTTCCTCTGTATAATGGCTACCTTGATGGTCGAAAAAATCTCCGTGCTACAAGTCGGTGGAAATTGATACGGACACGTTGGTAGCCACCTCCCGTCAGCTTCAATGTACCATGAAACTCAACTGATACATTTCTATAATATTGTCTTGCTGTCCTGACTACGTCTACTTCATTAATGCAGCAGTTGAACTACATTCCAACCATAACCAACTATACTCAGCTCTGGTGGGTTCCAAATGTTGTGGTCGCCCATCAGAAGGAAGGGATCGAGGCTCTTCATTTGGCTTCAGGGCGCACCCTTTGTAAGGTGAATCCTCATCTGTACTTCTTTTGTAGTAATCAAAGATAAGAGCCTGATTGAATTAATTTTAAAGTAGCAAACCAGAATATAAAAGATTCAGGAATTATATACTTAACGCCCAAACAATAAAACTGACGAATAGGTTACAGTTATCAGAGGAACTGAGGCAGTAGGCACTCGCCACATATGAAGGCGAATTCATCTGAGGTCCATGCTCCACCAAAGGAGCATGTCAGAATTTATTCTGAATTTGCCCATTTACATGAAATGAACTATAAGTGTATGTTCATTAGTTATTTGGTGTGTTACTTATCGGTAGTCTACCAGTGTGTCATGTGCCTTGAGCCACACCTTACTGGTTAGGGCTGGGGTAACTTGTTATGAAACCTTACAGTTTCTACACGAAATTAACTAAAAGAACTCATTTGGTTTCACCAGCTTCATCTGCAAGAAGGTGGTCTTCATGCTGATATTAACGGCGATGGAGTACTTGATCATGTCCAGGCATGTATTTTCCTCTGATATATTACAGTATATAAAAAATGATTCCTTTTTTTATACTATTTGCTACTGTGGAATTAATGATGGTCAATATGTAATGAGGTTGCATCTCCTCTGTTCAGGCTGTGGGTGGTAGTGGTGCCGAGAAAACTGTTATGACGGGATCAATGGAAGTTCTACGACCTTGCTGGGCTGTTGCAACCTCTGGTGTACCAGTGCGAGAGCAACTCTTCAATGTTTCAATATGTCACCACACTCTCTTGAATTTGTTCCAACATGGAGAATTTTCCAGAAGCTTTGGTCATACTACAGATGTATCTTCTTTAGAGGTAGCAGCTCCAATTCTCATCCCGAGAAGCGATGGCCATAAACATCGGAAGGGGAGCCATGGAGATGTCATCTTCTTGACCAATCGTGGGGAGGTATGTGTCATCTTGACCTGTTCCCTGAAATAACAAATAATCTTGAAGAGGGGAGATCAAAATTCTAGTATCCACTCGAGATTGGTAAAAAAATCTCATATAAACATATTTTATCATTCTTAAACAGACTATTTATCATCTTATCATTTACTTTTACTTGAACAAATCGGTCATATCCCATCGACTCTAAAATTTAATTAAATATACATATTAGATATGCGTTTTCTTCACTTACACTAAATTTCAAAGTCAACTTCAGTTTGTAGTAGAAGCTAAAACAAACACACTCTTTATTCGTTCATTTGATATCTCGTATAAAATCACTTGGTCAAAACCCTTAAAGTGACTAAATGTCTGCTGCATGTATCTTCTTCTTCAGGTGACATCATATGCCCCAGGGTTGCATGGCCATGATGCTATCTGGCAGTGGCAGCTAATGACGTATGCTACGTGGTCGAACCTCCCTTCTCCATCAGGAATGATGGAAAGTGGCACTGTGGTTCCCACACTCAAGGCGTTCCAACTTCGTGCACACGACACCCAACAGATGATCCTGGCAGCTGGAGATCAAGAAGCTGCAGTAATATCCCCAGGCGGGAGCATAAAGACGAAGGTTGAGTTACCAGCAGCTCCCACCCACGCCATAATCGCAGAGGATTTCTCCAACGACGGGCTAACAGACCTAATTGTCGTGACATCAAATGGGGTCTATGGGTTTGTTCAGACCAGGACTCCTGGTGCCCTGTTCTTCAGCACATTGGTTGGTTGCCTTTTGATAGTGATGGGAATCATCTTTGTGACTCAGCACTTGAACTCCATGAAAGGAAAGCCACGACCAGCTTCTGGTCTCAGGTAAACAAATTATAGGAAATTGGAAACAAGCAGCCCAGCTGTTATTTTGACTCGAAACTGCAGAGGCGCACCCTGCTTCAGTGAGCAGAAGATATTGGGTTGTTGTTCTTGAGATAGGGAAAATCTGACCAAGCTCAGCGGATGTTTAAAGAAACCGAAGTGCGTGTACTTTTGAATGAGAAAAAGAGAGGAAGATTCAGACTTGAGACTTACAATTGGCCCACGACTTCAGTGACTTAAGCTTGTTTATCTTCGATAGAAGTTAGTGGAGAAGTAGAGATTACAGCGGCCGGTCGGTCAGCTGTTGTGGATTTGACCAAGGCTTGCTGCCCTAGTGAGAAAAATTGAGTTAATGATCTGGCCCAATCTGTTATTGTCTCCTGCTTGTAGTTGTAGTTTGTTTGGTGAACTCTGAACGTTTTGATATAAAACAGGTTCTTCTCTATAGGGAGCGGCACAACTACCACTCAAACAGGGACTCAAGAGGCTAAAAGGCAATTACCCACCCATGGGTAATTATACCCAAACCCAAGTAGATACATTCATAATGGGTTGGATGTGGGTGAAGTGCATATAGGTTTTGGGGTTTGTAAATGGATTTGGATAAGGTATGGATATTGTTTTCATAATCTAAATGGGTATGAGTTGGATATAGATATCCATTTATTTGAGGGTGTTTTAACTACACATGCAAAAATTGGACCTATTTGTAAAACTTGAAAAGTTTAGGTACCAAAATGTAAGACAAAAAATATTTAGGTGCCAAAATGTAATTTTTCATCGATGTTTTGAGGACTTATATGCAAAAAAAATAAATTTAGGTACTAAATATGCATATCTATTAAGGGTGGCTACTTCGGTGTACTCACTTTTTTAGGTGCATTCAGTGCACCCACCTCTAAAAGTGGTCATAATACATTAAATTTTAAATTTTTATGGGTTGTATTAGTCTAATATGATTATATAACATAGAATCCCAACTAATCAACCCATTACCCTAACCTATTAACCTTCAATTTTGAATCTCAACTCAAAATCCTATATTATAAACCCTAACCCTAAATTCCTAAACCCTGAATCATTCAAATTAAAGTGAATCTTGAATGATTTTGGTACAAATTCATGTGGTTCTTGTTCATCATACCACAAGTGATGATTGACATCGTTTTCACATGAATCGCCTGCTGAGAAAGACGATTATGAGGCGGGTGCATTGAATGCACCCAAAAAAGTGAGTGCACCGAAGACATAACCATCTATTAAGTTTAGGTACCAAACTGTAATTTGCATTTGGGCATGGATGCAAACCCAAATCTATTTGTTATAAACCCAACCCAACCCAAGTAAATGGGTATGGGTACAAATCCATCAAAATATACTCATATACATCTATTTGGATTTCATACCCAACCTAATTGGGTTAGATAGTAAAAAACTCATGGATATGAGCAAAATTGCCATCCATACTCAAAAGTCGAAAGCTTTCTCGCTGGAAAGTTTCCATTTCATGGTCAACTAGAATACCGCATGTTTAGCAAAGAAGAGCCATTGCATGGTTGTATATAGTGATGGCAATGGGGCGGGGCGGGGCGGGTACCTCAATTCTCATGCCCCGCCCAACGCTACTACGGGTCGGGGCGGGTAAAACCCGCGCGGGTACGGGGTGGGACGGGTCTACCCACTCTTACATGTTGTTCAAAAAAAATACAAGTGAATTTTACTTTTTACAATAAAACGTAGGGAAAAACACTTTAAGAATGAAAAATATTGATAATAGAATGGATAATTGAGCCTAACAAGTTGAAAGATCGACTCTAACTAGTTGAAGAAAAGTCAAAATAGGAGAAATATGTATAGATATTGTAAGAAATTGAGATAAAATGGGTCTAGAACGGGGCGGGACGGGGCAGGGCGGGTCAGAAGTAGATACCCATGCCCCGCCCCACACAACTGCGGGTCGGGTAATACCCGCCCCATCGCGGATCAGGTAATACCTGCCCCATCGCGGATCAGGTCGGGTAATACCCGTGGCGCGGGTTGAAATTGCCATCACTAGTTGTATAGATGTAGGCGTGTAGCCCACCCTGCCTCTCTTTTAACGGTCATGAATTAGGAATGACAATAGACAAGTAGGGATGGTATCTCTATACTCATATCCAGCTCGGCGTAAATTGTCTTTGGGTAGTTAGAATTTAACATAAGGGGCTCCAGTTTTTTAAAGAGAAATATATATTATATGAGAAATTAGCACGTAGGCAAAATACAGTTGTATGTCCACAACTATCAGGTTTGTGACAAATATATCCACAACTATCGAAATACACGAAATATTCAAAAATTGGAAGGTGTGTGGCAAATCTATCCACTTCCGTTTGAAACTATAACTACGTGTCAGACGACGTTAAATTGACTAACGGAATGCTGAATCGATGTCATCTCACCTGCCACATAAGCCAAAAAGCAACCAACTTTACACGTAGATGCCAATAGGCTAATTGAATAAAAACGAAAATCAATTTTTTTTTGAATATGTCTGCCTCGTTCTCTACTTCACTCTCTCCCAGCTGAATCTAAATCCGCCATGGCCGCTTCTTTCTCCATCTCCAAACATTCCTCTCCTCCTGGATTTCTTCCACCGTTGCATATATCGACTTCGCACCTACCAGCTCCGGTGCCGACCGGACTGATCTTTGGACAACCGGAGCTTCTTCCGGGAAGTATCTCTTCTTCCTTGTCGGCGTCGAGATCCTCTCCGGCGGATCCGGTAGTAGCTGGTTGATTCCTCTCGCTCCTCTTCCCGCTGATACGTGAAACCGTGCTGTTCGGAGAAGAAACTCCAGGCTCCTCCTCGCAATCGGTCGCGCGACAGCAGGGAGCCAGTTCACGTCGATCTCGCGGAGGAACGGTATCGGCGTCTCGCACTTGGTCGGGTTCGAACTCGGATCTGAATGTCGGGGGAAAAAAATCAACACATGAGTCGGAGATCTAGATGAGAGAAAACTAAGAAAGTCGATTGAACCAAAAAAGCTTGATAATAGATTCCAAAAAATTTCTTTCCCCTGCTCAAAAGAGAAAAGGCGAGCTTGATTCATTGAAAGTTTCGAAACAACACTTTCAATTTTGTGGGTTTTAGGGGTTTTCCCCTTCTTTTAATCCACATCATTAAGTGGGGTTAGAAACACGCCAACTAAGCATCCACCGTCTGTCCAGTCATCAAGTTAATTGACAGAGTTAACAGAGTGGACGAAAATGGATATTTCGTGTATTTCAATAGTTGTGGATATATTTGTCACAAACCTGATAGTTGTGGATATACAACTGTATTTTGCCAAGTACTTATCTAATGATGCACAACATTTTTTCTACTATAAGTCTAATAAAACTTGTAAAATATGTATTCTTGGTAGGCCTCATTGTCATTGTATCCTACTTCCTACGGACTAATAATCAACATTTTTTTATAATGGCAAAATAATATTAATTTTAAAAAGGAAATTTACAACAAAACAAAACAAACCCAGCAACAAGCGGGAGAAGGAATCAGCACAAACAACGTTGACATTTCGTTGAGCAAATGTCACTCTTTCCATTCACCATGATCTCAACTAATAGAAGGTTTGTTTCGTGGGTAAAATACTTCGGGTGCCACTTAAGTTTGAGAAATGGGGTTGACATACCACTTAACTTTGAATAGGGCGTCGGGTACCACTAAACTCTATTATATGTGCACCCGGTACCACTTAAGTTTACTGCTAAGTGCATTTCGTTAAAATTGACAGAATATTTTTGGAATATTCCGTTTTCTTAATTTCATAATTGGTCCTTCTACTTTTCTTATTGTAAAAAAGTCATTTGGACTTATGAAAAACATCATTTTTTATTGTTTAGTTAGAATCCTCTTTTGAATACTTAATATCAAACCAATTTTTGAATATAAAATTTAGAATCAATTATCATTATACTTATTTTCAATTATCATTATGTGTTCTAATAATTTAATTATTCCATGAATGTTGTAAATAAACAATGTTGTAGCTTTTATAGTCATATTTTCTTTTCTATATTTTTTACCGTATGTAGTAGCTTTTATATTTTATTTATTATTTTGTTACTTTCCATCTCTTTTTGTTCTAATTTTTTTCAATTAGTGGAATATGTTTAATTCTTTTTGATTGTGTTCCATTTATCCTTCTTTGATTTTGATATATTGATGATTGATTAGGTTCTATTTTAACTATTTCTAATAGTACTTCTAATTGAATTAGGGGGTTTAAATAGATATTCTAATATTTATTTTTATATTCTAGTATATTTATTATTCTTCTTGATATTCGTTTATTATTTTTACTAATTTATCTATTTTATTGAAAATTTTGATTAGTCATTATATAATATGTTTAGAAGGTAATAAATAGATAAAACTTGTTGAAATATAGTTTTGGATGTCTTTAAAAGTTTGGGTATAAAAAAATAATTAAAATTTTGGGTTGGATGGAAAAGTAGACGGATGCACATTTTAGCAACTTTAATGGTATCCGACGCCCTATTCAAAATTAAATGGTATGTCTACCACAATTCTCAAATTTAAGTGGTACCCGAAGTATTTTACCTTTTGTTTCGTTCATTCCATATTTATTTATGGGCTAAATTGCAAGTTTGGTCACTTGAATGGCTAGTAAAGTTCACGTTAGCCACTAGAATTACTTTATTTCATCTGTAGTCACTTAAATTAAGTTAACCGTTCATGTTTGGTCATTGGCTGTTAGTCTCGTTAACTTTTGCTGATGTGGAGGTCAACTCTTATAGTTGACCGTTAAATGAGTGACGTGACAATTAAAAAATAATAAAAAATAATTTTATTTATTTATTTTCCAACTAATTATTATAAAATAAAATAAAATAAAAAACCCCAATCGTTTGCGCATCCCTTCTAGCTGCTTCTCCATCGATCTATGCTCCTGTTTTAACCTCCCAATCTCCAATCGATCTATGCTCCTAGAGAAATTGTTGTGCTTGAACGGTCAAGAACAACTCCTCCTCCTCCTTTCGAGCTTTCGTCGTCGTCGTCAGCGACTTGTGCTCTGTAACCTCTGTTGGAGTCCTGGGTGGCGGTGGTGGATTCGTCGGAGAGGTTGCGCCGGAGGGAGTCGAGGTTGATAGGGTGGTGACGATTGTGACGGTGGCGCTGTCGCGGATGATTTAGCGGGCAATGAATGGGATCAGGTGGCCTTGCGTCATTAATGGAAGCATCACTATGTGCTCGTTGGAGGGAGAAGAAGAAGAAGTACTCCCTGCCATTTTGGTCTCTGGTGATGATATTTTCAGGGAGCGTAATTACAGTGGAGTCGGCCGAGGTGGGAGGCCAACGGACTCGATTCGTCTCCCACGGTTCCACCTCTTTAAGAAGTTAAACTCGTTCGCCTTCATCGACATGCCCATTACCTTCTTCTAATTCCACTAGTTGGACTTCTCCAAAAGCCATATAACCATTTACCCTCTCTCTCTGTCCCTCTGCTCGGCCACTAGCTTTCTGGACAGCCAACCCAGGTTAGTGTTGTGGAAATTGTTCACGTATACTATTTTCTTGTAAAACAAGCAACATGTAAGATCACAAAAAATCATGCAAAGATACATATGACCGTCCTAGCCGACAGAATTCGCTGTCTCTCCTTAAAGAATCTTGTTCCCCTCTAGTACCCAAGATTATGGAATGATTCCTCCCAGGATAGAAAGGACGTACCTTTTCCGGCGTAGCGGTACCTCAAATCTCGGAACCCATCGAACGCAGCGAACCGGCGAGAACCACACTTGACTCTATTTTCTCTTTGAAAAAGAATGCAGAAAACTAGTTTTGGACTTTGGCAGAATTTCGGTTCTAGAAAAATCCATGTTTCTTCATATGAAAACTAGAGGGGGTTATGTGCTATTTATAGAAAATGAAGGGGTGCGTACGAAGGGAGGCGACTCTTCATATGGGTGGTTACACCCCAACCAGCACATTGGCTCGTTTTAAAATAATGAACCATTGCATCGGTTCGGCCTATGGTAGTTGGACTGGTTTGGTTATTCCAACCGCCATATCGGTTCGGTTCGATTTGGTTTGGTCCATTTGGTACACAAACCAATTTAACCGATTAACCACATATTATATCAAATCGATCGAATTCAAGGCCGTGCCTTCCCACATCTTACCAACATGGTACTTCAAGAGACTCTCTTAAAACTTTCCCCTTTTATTTCCATTTACACCACTAAAAATCGCAACATTCAATTCTTCCATTAACTTGCATTCTTAATGGTTTAGGAAAATTGTGTCTGGAAACAAAAGAAAGAAAAAAAAAACAAATATTTGGTGTGTGAAGGTGAAAGTCAGAGATAGTGTAGAACAGAGCATAAAGATGGACTCTGTAAACACGGCTTGGAAAATGAAAGACTCCATCTTTCTGTCTTTTGTTCAAGGGAATCCAAAGTTCATTTTTTTCAGGGGAATCAAACAATTAGGGATGGCAATGGGTCAGGTCGGGGACGGATAGTGCATATCTATTACCCTATCCAAAGTAGTTCGGGTTTTACTCATATCCATACCCACATAAGAAATTGGTAGAAAATCTAAACCATGTCCATACCCGTTCGGGTTTTGGGTATCCACGGTTATTCGTGAGTAATAGTTTCTCTTTATAACTCCAACCAATATGTTAATATTCACACGTATTCTCACGTTACGTAAGATGAAAAGTACGAAAATAATTCACTAGAATGAAGAAATTCATTAAAATAACACAATTTCATAAAAATATTATATTTATATGCTAGATATAAAATATGTTAGAGAAAAATATTGATTATTTCTAGAAAAAATACATATGCATGTGTATAATCGGACGGGTTCGGGTTGGATAGTGAGAAAACCATGTCCACCCATTACCCGCAATATTCGGGTTCGGGTTTTACCCGTACCCACTAAAAGTCTTTCGGGTTCGGGTTTTACCCTACCCGATCAGGTCGGATTCAGGCGGATATCCACGGTTACGGATATTTTTGCCATCCCTACAAACAATGATCTGAAAGGGCTTGTGTCTTTGAGTATCATAGTTATTCGGCCATACGACATTGTGTAAAAAGGCCTCGGCCCATTAGATGTAGATGATCGGCTAAGGTTTATCGTAGATAGCTGTGTGTATATATGTAACTTAGTGTACTACGTTGGAAGTACAAAAAATAAGAAAGCTACGCCCCTTCCCTTGGACTAGTCTTGTTCGATCACTCTCGAATAAGGAAATCACGTAAATCCCGTCTCGTTTCAATTCTTGTTCTATTTCGATCATTGTTACGTTACGATCAACATGGTATCAGAGCCAGGAACTATGGATCTGGAGAGAGTATTAGGACGCGTCTCAACTCGAAGAATTTTGCACTATGGGAGTTCCAATTCCGTACGTTCATTGAAGGTCAGGGATTTTTCGAATTTTTCACATATGCATGACAATAGTTTACCTAACACATGTCAATTAACATATTCTCAAATCCTCCCACGCTAATGAAATGAAATATAAATTGCGCAAATCGTCAAACAACAATCACAAGAGTAATGCTACTACAAGAAACACATGATATTTGATTATCTTTAAACTCCAAACATGTCATTCAAATCCTTGTGATTTTTTTTAAACATCTCACCAATTTATGAGTGATTTTATCATATTTGGGAGTAATATATTCAATGGAACGGGTCTAACGGGTTGACCCGCTAACCAACCCAACCCGACCCAAAAATCACGGGTTAAGGGCAAGAAAAATATGAAAAGAGGCGCATTTTGCAAATTAAATAGAAAAACAATGCAGTATGACCTCTAGCCCGATATAACCTTGCTTCGGTCGACTCCCGAGTGAGTGTGGCTCATTTTTGTCACTGGGACAGGGTTAAAACGGATCGACCCGTGGGTTGACAAATCTTGGTATTAATAAGATACCCTAAATGGTTGACTTGGAGGTAGTATAATTATAGTAAGTATTTGAACCTCGTGCAAATAATTAAAAAAGAAATATACATATATAGCTCAAAATTTTATTTTAAAGGAATTAATGATAAATCAATTTAGTTTAGGGCATAATAAAATTTATTTCCCCCTACTATACTTATTCATACATTCTCTACACTTCTATGCCACCATGATAGAATCTTATGTACTACCAAGGAATGCCATTATGATACAGACTAGTAATATATGTCTCATTTTTTTTATTTCTAAAACATATCAAAGTGGATATAATTTTTATAAAAACAATTAATATGAATTTTTCAGTACAATTTTTTTTAATTCTGATTTAAAACAAAAGACATATATCATATTACATCAAATTGGGGAAAAATTTATGCATGGTCAGTAACCAATTAACCATACTAATCATATCCGCTCCCATACAATTGATACTTTTTTTTTTTACCTATATAACATTCTGGAAACAACAAAAGGATAAACGTTTATCAATACGAGTAATTGAGCAGGCATACTTAAACAATTAACGATCAAACAATTTATAAATAATTCAAACAATTGTATGTCATGATTCAAGAAATATATAACTACCTTATTATATTCATCTAACATATATGCTTCCTACAATTTCCACACCTTAGTCCACGGTAAAAAAAAAAAAAAAAACCCCAGAGGAAAAACACCACCCATCCTTTCTCTTCCGACTCTTTTGGATCTCAAACAAGAGAGAAAAGAAGTAGCTCTGACTTTTCCAAGTTCCCCTCTCTCTCTCTTCTCGCCCTCCACAAACTCTGCTGAAACTTCTCCGTCCCCTCAACGTGTCTTCTCCCATTCCCCCGCTCCTCTTTTTAACATGACCCTTACTTACTTCACCTCACCATCCAACCCAGTAAGCCTAACAAAACAAAACAAAAATGGCAATCGGTGGAGGACGGTCTTCACGGTCCGGCAAACGAATCTCATCCTCCTCTCCCTCTTCTTACACCTCCACCGTCACAACCATCGCCTTTATCGCATTATGCGTGGTCGGTGCCTGGATGCTCACCTCTACCTCCGTGGCGCCTCCGCAGACCGCCAATCTCACAAGCAAGGCCGCCACCACCCTCGTCTCCACCGAATCTGACGCCGCCGCGACGACAAATGTCGTCGATCAGAGTGGTAGTGCTAGTAGAACCACCAATGGGAAGAAGAAGCAGTCCGTATTCGAGGACAACCCAGGCGACCTCCCCGCGGACGCCATCAAAACCGACCAAGCTGACGGTGGGAAGGGAGCCGACACCGATCAGGACAAGGACAACAAGCACACTCAGATCTCGGAAGAGAGCACAATGACCACGGCACAAAGTGCCAATCAGCAAGTAATTTCTGATGAGACGATGACACAACAAAATACAAAGGCGGCCGACAAGCCAAACATGGAGGAACGACAGCAAACCGAGGAGAAGGTGGTGGAGGAGGAGGAGCCTCAAAACAAAGCGGCGGCAGCCGAAGAAGCGAACAACAACAATCAGGGGAATAACATTGTACAAGGCAATCCATCGTTGGAAGCGAGAGTGTTCGAAGAGCAGCAGCAGCAACAAAGAATGGAGGACGCGGGGGTTCAGAATCCCGCCGAGGAGAAGCCCGAGAACAAGGTGACGGAGGAGGATCAAGCGCAGAGGATGCAACAGCAGCAGCAACAGATGCAAGATAATGCTCAGAAGAAGCTGGCGGAACCAACGCAGCAACACGATCATCAACAACAACAACAGAACGACGAGGCACATCATCAGGAACGGATCAAAGTGGAGAATCCCGAAAAGACCAGTGAGGTGGTGTCGTCGGGGATGATTCCGAAGGAGTCTAAGGAGTCGAAGAGGTCGTGGTCAACGCAGGCAGGCGAGTCAGAGAGCCAAAAGGAGAGGAGGAAGGAGGATGAGACGAAAGGTCAGGATAGCGAGCTCCCCAAGGATACATGGCAGCTCTGTAATGTGACGGCGGGTCCTGATTACATTCCTTGTTTGGATAACGAGAAGGCGCTCAAAAAGTTGAGGACTACCGGTCATTTCGAGCACCGAGAGAGGCATTGCCCCGAGGAGCCGCCTACTTGCCTGGTTCCTCTTCCGGATGGGTACAAGAGGCCCATTCCCTGGCCAACAAGTAGAGACAAGGTACGATGCTACTACGGCTCTAGTACCACTACACACTCCCATTTTATTGTTAACAACAAGGCACTGAAATCACGTTTTGACAATGAAAAGTTACAAAACAGTCACTTTGGTGATGTGACTCTAAGGAATAGTGTTTTTCTACATGTCCTTTTAATATACTAAATTATTGTAAAAATCTCATAATTAATTAATATGATAAATAATTTGTGGGAATTTGGTACGTAGATTTGGTACCACAACGTGCCTCACACGAAACTGGCAGAATTTAAGGGGCATCAAAACTGGGTTAAGGTGACGGGCGAGTTCCTGACGTTCCCAGGAGGTGGAACTCAGTTCATCCATGGAGCCCTCCATTACATTGATTTTCTACAACGGGTAAACCGCTATAAATAATAATTAAGTAAAAAAATTGAAACCGGCTTTATATTTCTCTTGTTGAGTATTTTTCTTTCTTGATTTCTCAGGCGGTGCCGAAGATCGGGTGGGGGAAACACACGAGGGTGATTCTGGACGTTGGGTGCGGAGTCGCCAGTTTTGGTGGATACATGTTCGAGAGGGATGTTCTTACCATGTCATTTGCGCCCAAGGATGAACACGAAGCCCAAGTGCAGTTTGCACTGGAGAGAGGCATTCCAGCAATATCTGCCGTCATGGGATCCAAACGCTTACCCTTCCCAAGCGCCGTTTTCGATCTCATTCACTGCGCTAGATGCAGGGTACCTTGGCATAACGAAGGTAATCAATCAATCAATCAATCAATCATGTCTACAATACTACTTCAAATTTTGTTCTGCTTGATTGATTGTAAGTTGTAACTCGATACAAATACTCATGTGTCTTGCTTTGAATCAGGTGGGCTGTTGCTTCTGGAATTGAATCGCCTTCTGCGCCCTGGAGGCTACTTTGTGTGGTCAGCAACTCCTGTATACCAAAAGCTGAAGGACGATGTCGAAATATGGCAAGGTAAACATGCATTAAAAAAAAGAAAAAAACACAACAGTGAGTCTCGATTCGTCTTACAGCAATCACAAGTTTACAAACCGGGATTGTCTTGTCTTTTTTCCCCACCAGCAATGTCAGCGTTGACAGTTTCCATGTGTTGGGATCTCGTGACCATCAAGAGAGACAAACTCAACAAGATCGGAGCTGCTATATACCGCAAGCCAAGCACCAACGATTGCTACGACCAGAGGAAAAAGAATTTCCCTCCAATGTGTCCAAATGACGATGATCCAAATGCTGCATGGTACATGCATTTTTCATTCTCTCTCACACACAAAAAAATGGTGATATTACGATTTGTCCCAATAACTCGAGTTGTTGGGAGAACACTATACTGGATCTTATATCATTTTCTAACACGCCCACTCAAACGAAAGCCGACTCATGGGCTTGAAGTTTGCATAGGCCCGCCGCCATACCATGTGCTTGAAGGCAACTGTTAATATTGGGGGGGGGGGGTGGTGATTCGAACACACGACCACTTAGCCAAATCAGCTCTGATACTATGTCATAAACCAGTTGGTCCCAATAACTCGAGTTATCGGGACCAACTAGTTCTTGACATGGTATCAGAGCCGCCTTCTGTGACCAAGAATTCTTGTGTTTGAATCCCCACGACCCCCCCCCCCCATTTGTTAAACACATGGTATTCTTGTCTTCGAGTTATTGAGACCAACTGGTTGTTGACAATCATGACATCCTTTCGGTCTCCATGTAGGTCTGTGCCACTGCAGGCATGCATGCACAGAGTGCCATCGGAGCCAAGCATTCGAGGCAGCCGATGGCCAGACGATTGGCCGCGCAGGTTGCAGAAGCCACCTTACTGGCTCAACAGCACTCAAATGGGGATCTATGGCAAACCAGCACCCCAGGACTTCACGGCAGATTACCACCACTGGAAAAACGTGGTCACTGTGACGTACATCAAGGGACTGGGGATCAACTGGGATGGCGTCAGAAATGTGATGGACATGAGAGCTGTGTACGGCGGGTAAGTACGTACGTACGTAATCAAAATGAGAGCTAAGCTATATATGCATCATTGCATTGGCTGGGTAAAAATGGGAACTGAACACTTTTGGGTGGTTGGTTTTTGGGTTCTATAGTTTCGCAGCAGCTCTCAAGGATATGAAAGTTTGGGTGGTGAACGTGGTGAACGTGGATTCTCCAGACACGCTTCCCATTATATTTGAGAGAGGGCTGTTTGGGATATACCATGACTGGTGCGAATCCTACAGCACTTACCCAAGGACTTACGATCTCCTCCATGCTGATCATCTTCTCTCAAAGCTGAAAACCAGGTTACACAGTTTTTTTCAGCATGCTTGCTCACTTAGCTATAGGTTACTCTCTCAAGCAATGCAGTCGAAACCGCGCTTTAAAACTTTAAAAAATTACGATTTTACGCTTCTAAGTCATCAAAACCCGCTTTTGTTTCCATATAAAAACTATAGTGTATAAAATCGGACTAAATTGCGCTTTAAAACTTAAAAACTTACGGTTTTACGCTTCTAATTCACCAAAATGCTTTACGCTTTGAGTATTTTTTTCCCATAAAATTAATTATAAAAAGTATATTTTAAAGTTAAATAACCAACAATATGATCATTTGAGATCAAAATATACATACTAGGTCTTGGATGCATATGCATTCTCAACTTCATAAATGAAATCTAATTCACGAATTCCCAAATTCATTAGCATAGAGAGGAGGATGGTGCTTATTGTTAAGATCTATGTTTATGAACTTATTTAAAAATGCTATTAGTTGCTCTACTTTGAACATGAATTGCATGAATTTATTAACTTATCTAAATTCCGTACACCCATATTTTACGTAGTACTATATGCCATACTTAACAATAAAAAATTAGCCATTTTACAATATGCATAGAAAAAACTTACTCTTTTACGCTTTGATTCTACGCTTTACGATTTTACCCATTTGCCGCTTCTAAGTAGAATCGCGTTTTTGACTGCATTGCTCTCAAGAAAACAATTAACATGCACAAGGAAAAAATGATGTCGACTGAATACTAGTTTTTGCTTCATATGTATTGTTTCACCGGCCAGGTGCAAGCTGGTGCCTGTACTAGCAGAAGTGGACAGAATGCTGAGGCCAGGAGGCACGTTCATCGTTCGGGACGAATCAAGTACAGTAGGGGAAGTGGAGGGCATACTCAAATCTATGCACTGGGAGGTTCATCTCACCAACAACAATGACAAACAAGGCATTCTCAGTGCACAGAAAGGCGACTGGCGACCAGAGACATTTGCACTTTCTTCTTCATGACCATCAGGAGTTGAGTTGGATTTATGGTGGAGAAATCATAAAAGCATGCATGCCTTCAAAAATTCTTGACACTGGAACATGCATGCATGATATTGACTTTGTAGAGCACGGATAGGTAAAGTTTAGGCCTACAAAATTGTTAGATAGATCATAGAAGTAATCATCTTCAGTTTCTTCGCCGAGAGATCATATAACGCCGAGGCATCATTCAATTGTGCGTACGTAATTATGTCTACAAAAAAAAAAAAAAAGATTTAGGAACACTTTTTTTTGTGAACAAATTAGAGCAGCCGACTCCTCAAATCTAGGTGGCAATGGACGTGGTCAACGTTAAGAACATGTAAGCATGTCATCGACAAACAACTATACATCATTGAATTGCATAACTGGACTAAGATTGCTTCTATTATTAAAGTGACTATAAAATTCCAACAACCAAAACTTTGTTTCAAGCATGGCCTTTTCATTTCCATTAGATAATTGGCTCGTGTTTTGCGGTGATTTACGTAAAAAATGTATATATTAATTAGTGAAGAGTATATTTTTGTTTTAAATGAAGGTTGATATTATCAGAGAACGAAATAAACTTTTCACTAGTCGTTAACCTTTGGGATACGAATATAATTTTTCGATTGAATGATTGTTTCAAACTTCTGGACACACATAATAAAATTAACGAAATCAAACATACAGTTAGTTGTTAAGTCATTGTGTGTAACCTTCTATCTGTAACGACTTTTAAACTCGGACAAAGAATATACGATAATTGATTTGGGATGGAACAAAGCCTATTAATGAAGTGGGAGAGGTTACGGTGATTACTTAATATTAGTAATCACCGTGGCTACTAAGGTTAGAAATAGTATTTTACTTCCCTTATAATCATATATAACTACCATATTAATTATTACGTGGATGATTGGGGAGAGATAATTACGGAAAGTGATTATTAGGCAATTACATTACCGTAGGGTTCTGGGAGACCAAGATAAAAGGAGACCAATACCATTCCATAAAATTAAATCGAACAATGCCATTGCACATATAACAATGAACACTACCATTACATGTGGTAGATCACCACCAATGCATGCCAGTCTTAACAAAATCGTACACACATACCATTCCAAAATAAATAAAAAACAGTGCAACTCATCTTGACCACTACCATTGCAAGATCAAATAACATACCAATCCACCAAAAGATAACTACCATTGAAAGACCATTGCTAATGTGCGCAGATAACTACAAAAATCCTAGATCACTACCATGCATACAAAGATCACTTTCTTTGCTTTTTGGTTTTGACTTCCGCCTCTGCCTGCTTCTCGCTCTTGTTACCTTCCATGTATGTATATATATAATCCATGATTCTTTCTCTCTCCGTCCCTCTCTCTCTCTACTCGAGGCAAGAAGATGATATGAGTTGATTTTCTCTCTTCCGCGAGCTTCTGGTTCGGGATTGGCAGAGCCACCTGTTTTGCGGCTAAGCGACAGCGGATGGTCGGGTTTATGGGACGTCGAGGCTGGTGCATCGGGGCTGGTGGGTGTGCGTCGGGGATGGTGGAGGCGGCCGTCGAGCCTAGTGCGCCGGGAGTGACGGAGGCTGTCAGTGGAGCTTGCGACTGCGACAGGTTTGGTTGGAGGGAGGGGACTGGGGCGGGTATAAGTAGGGTTTGGTAGATTGTATAGAATAATCGATTGTGGTTTCTTTTTTGTTTCCAAAATTAACTTGGAGCAATCTTAATCGCGAGATTAAAAAAAAAAGAAAAAAAAATGGACGACTGATACTATTGTAGCCATGGTGGCTACTAAAATTTTAGTTGACACCCTAACACATTCCTTAATGAAGTAGAACATGAAGTTCTTCTGTGTGGTTGTATGAATAGTGGTCAGGCTAATTTAGATACTTTGATTCAATGGTAATGAATGTTACTTGGGTAGTGGTTGGTTAGGATAATCGAAAGTTACTAGGAATAGTAAATCTTATTAAGAAATATGAACAGATAGTAGTTATTCCACGTAACCATGTCCATATGCATATTGGTTTTATCACTAGCTAATGAATAATGATTTAAGTTGATTAGTACGTAATTAACCATTAGTTGGAAAGTCAATGACCAACCCCAAGGATTGCAATATCTAAAATACTGTTAGTAGCTAGAGGTGGAAGTGTGGTATCGGTATATGTGATATACACCCAATACCACACCGAATTTATCATTATTTGGTATTATCGATTACAATGTTAATTTTTTTGTTTGAAATTGAGAATGATTTTTAAATTAGTCATATTGGATATTCGAGATATGATAGTGGAATTGATATATACCAATATATCGAGTGATCGATTCATTCCATGCAGGTCATTGTCAGTAGTTTGCATGTCTCAATAACTACCCCATCCTAGGCCAAGTTTAACCTAAAATGGCGTTGTCATATAGTGGAAATCAAGATTGTATTCACTCAGGTCACGATACCTAGCCTACTTCTCACGTTGTTGTTATCTAGTCGATCGTTTAAGGGGGGTTGTGTTGGATGATTCAAGTGAAATAACTAGTAGAGAGAATAAACAAGGATAAAGCAGGTACTTCGGGGAACTATCTCTCACCCTAGCCTAGGTCTATCATGCAATGTCTAAATAAGTTGGGTTAAGCGAATATGGTGAGTGAGCTCTTTTATGTGGGCCTTCGTGATTATCCACACGTCTTCGTGTCACCTCCCCTAAACCCATGTCAGTCACCTCGATCTAGGCTATCTTATCTGGGACTTTAAGAACATATCTCCTTTCAATGGGTACTACCCACCGTCCACACCGAGGTTTCGTCCTGGGATTCATCAAAGAAGGCATTCTCATGGCACGGGTACGGTCGCCTCCTCCACCACAAGATCCTATTCATTCATCTAACCCTAATTTGCCATATGGCGCATACCCGTCTAACCCTAAAACTTCATACCCAGCGTAGAAGCTCAATAGGCTAGTACAGAAAATTAGGGGGCTTTCCTGAGCACAATTAAAGCTAGAGAAGTATTAAAATCAACTAGACAAACACATTCATTCAAAATCCTAACATATTCATACATTACATAATAACCCTAAAACTAGGGTTTGGGGTTTAGAATCCCTAGAACCTTAGACGAACTTCAACCTAAAAGCTAAATTTAGCTTCCCAAGTTCTCAAACATCCATCTTTGCGTCTCAAAACACTATATTTGCTCCAACCTATACCTTCTAAATTTACCTTCCCAAGTCAAAAACCAGCCAATCAATAATTAAGAAAGGAAATGAAAAAAAAGACTAAAGCAGCTGGAAAAGTGAAGGGACACGCGGTAGACCTTTTCTCCTTCCCAAGTCAAAACCACCACTTGCAGGATGGATTTTTGCCTTCCCTTTTATTTCTCCAGCTACCTATCCACCATCAACTCCCATTCTCCAAATTTGCATCCCCACTTTTTGTTGGGTTGGAGATTAAAAAAAGGGGAAAATCTCCACTTCTCCAAATTTGCAATCCATGGTTGAAGACAGTCTTAAGAGACTACTCCATAAGGAGAGAAGAAGATATATAGAAGAATTTGAAAAAGAGTTGATGTTGAGGAAGATGACTCCTCTCTTCTAGCTTCTCCTCTTCTCCTTCCTTCAGCCTGTCTCTCTTCTCTCTCTCTCTAAATCAGAAATTTCTATATCAAAATCAGCTCTCCTAAAATGGGGGAAGAGGTCCTTTATTTATATACTTCAAGGGGCGGACAAGTTCGCGGCTGAGCAGGGGGAGTTCGCGGTCGGGATCTTCTCCTCCGAGATTGCGATCTTTAGGCGTCATCGTTTTTTATCTATGCCCTTTACGTCAGGAGTGTCAAGAATCCAGAGAGAATTTATTTTTTGCTTGTACATATGTGAAGCAGGTCTGGCAAGTGGTGTTCCCTACAACGAGCACTATCTTATTCAAAGAATCATTGCAGGAAGGGTTGGCAATTTTGACCTGACCTGTTTTATCCGACCTGTTTGATCTGTTTTGGGCGGGGCAGGGCGAGCATGGGTACTCTCATCGACCTGAACTGCCCTGACCCGCCCCATTTTCGACCCATTCTTGCCTAAATTATATGTAATCTTAATCAAATTACTTAGGATATTTCTTTTATTACATCATATTTTAGCTATAATGAAGTTGTAAATTAGTGAAACCCTTAATTTCTCTAATAATTTAACTACATCTATCATAATATTGTTTGTTTTCTTGGTCTTATAATAAAAATAATGAATATTTCTAATATTTTTCATATAAATTACATACCATTGGGTCGACCTGCCCCAGCTCGTAACCCGTGATAAATTATTCGATCTGGATCCGACCTACTACGGGGCGGGTCTGGGTAAAAAAAACTTGCCCGGACCCGCCCATTGCTATTCCTAATTGCAGGGGGGCGGTTGAAGTAGCATTACAGCAGTAAATCTTAGTGCTGAGCGTGGTCTGGCGGGAGAGGTGCAGACGGGTGTACAAGGTAGCGAGATGGATCCTGTTGCTTTGGTGGTGAAGATGCAGTAGATCTTAGTGGCAAAACGAGATGGAGATAACAAGTTTGCTGCAGCGATTTCTGCTTCCTTAGTTTCATCTTTCTGGTTTGATTAGTTCTTCTGTAGTCAGCATAGTAAGACTACTCTGGTTGTTTGTTTTGCTCACATTGCTGTTTCTTGTTATACTCTGTAGTCTGGACTGAGTAGCTCTTGTGTTCTTGATCGTATTTTTATGAAATAAATCCCACCCATTCACAAAAAAAATGAAATTATCTAATGATGAAAAATTTACTACTATTCTTTTTTTCATCTTGACATCAATTACATATATCATACATTACATATATATTTGGATATTTTATTTATCAATTATTTTAGAATTTGATTTAAGGATTCAAATATTTAGAATAAATGAGTTAAGATCAAACTAAACTTGTGATCTTGTTGATGTACCAAGTTCGAGTAGATCACTCCTGCTCTCATTAACGAGTCGAGCTCGAATCAAGATTAGGTCAAAACCGAGCCAAGTTTTAGTAAATGAATCAATTTTGACCTCGACTCAACTCAACTCGTTAATATACAAGTTGAGCTACATTTGTACAAGCAGTAATGTAGCAAAAAAATCGTGATGTGTTTCATATTCTTTAAATTTTCTAAAATATACCTACTGGTAATGTGTATATGAGAACATCCACCACACCCTGGGTTCGAATCTTGGGGCCAACAACCAATGAAAAAAGGGTTAGGATGCCAACATTGATAATAGGGGTGCGCAATGAGATTCGATCCGGACCAAATTCATGAGAATCGCGGCCATATAGTGAAAGACATCTTAGGATGAATAACCAGGCCTTCACTACATTCGGTCTGGTCCAATGTCAATTTTGGTCCTTTTTCTTTCTATTTATAAAATTTACGGGATCAAAAACCAAATCGTATTATATCCAGGGGTTTTGTCGAAAACATTGGTTTGGTCTGGTAAAATCT